TTATTTGGTTTGACCTCGTTAATTTTAATATTTATTTATCTACAAGTACAATTAAATTGTAACTTGTGGTTTGCGACTTGAGGTAGATAATCGACACACGTCATTGCTTCATTGGAAAATAAATTTCGCGCCTCCACTGTAACTTACCAACTACTAGATATTTTTATTTAATATACTGAAAAATCACAAAAATAAAAAAAAATATATGCTCATATTTATAAAAAAAAAAAATGTGTTTCGTATTATCTTAATAAAACATTGATCTGGTATTCTTGCCAATATAGCCTTTTCAATTGCATGTGTGTATATTTGTTTTCGTATCGATTCTTATCGTGCGTATTGCCGTTTTTTGTTGATAGCAACAGCTTTCATAGGCTGACAAACAAAAAAAAGATTTTGAGATGCCACCAAAAAAATACTTGTCTAGTCCGGATCCATACAAATATTGATAATTCAAATGCGATAAAAATATTTCAAAATAATCATACTCATGATTCTGAAGCCACCATAGTTGAAAAAGAAATTGTCATAACAAATATTAGAAAGTGGCCATTATTGACAATGGAAAAAAAAAATCATGTGTTATCAATGAATGCACATAAGGACTATAACAAGCAGGAAATGTAATGTATAATACAATATAATACATTAATCAATAAATTTTATAATAAAAACATTTACTATCGCGTTTTTTACAATACTATTATTTCTATTAATTTTAGGGTGTGTTCTTCCAGCTAATGAAGCATTAAAAAATATAAAAGAAGGAAAAGAAACCGTATTCAATGAGCTCCACCAGCATTCCGAGATCTACTATTATTAGAAGTACCCGAAATGTTACATATATATTCGCCTGAAGAAGGAATTCAAAAACAATTTTTGTTAGCTGACAGTGGTAAAGAAATTAATAGAATTATAATATTTGGAATACTATAAGCATTAAATATTTTGCAACGTTCTAAAACACGATTTGTAGATGGAACATTTAATGTTAATCCTTTTTTATTTGCACATGTATGCATATATTTGGCTGAAGATTTAGGTTAGGTACATCCAGTATTTTATGCATTAATATCTAATAAAAAAAAACGAAACGTATCGTAAGTCTTTGAAAATACTAAAACCTAAATTCGGATTGGTCACCATTATAGATGTTATTAACATTTGACTAAAAATTTTAGAAAAAAAAATGGAAGACTTGGGAACGACTTCAAAATATAACAACGATGCTAATTTTTTAATAAAAATTATAATATCACACTTTATAATATCAATTTTATAAATAAAATTAGGAAGAGACTTTTATTACTAACAAATGGTTACCAGGATAAGTTTTCTAAAAATTAAAAAATTATAGACTTCAATAAAATAATACTTGCGCTGCACAATCATTTGACATGATTAACAACACTAAATCATTAAGTTAAAAATTGAGGATGGTGGATTTACGTTCTCTTAATAATAGGGGATTTGGTGCATTGGAAGCAAGCAATATTTGGAATTCCATTGTATGGTATGGATAAAAATACAACAATTAAATAGTTAGATGTATCAATAAAAAGAAAATACTTAAATTAAAAGAAGAAATCGAGAAGTTGGACACCCAATCTACTGATCTACTAATCTGTATTTTATCCTTCATTGATGGATACTCATAACCCAAAAAGACCGCTTGCAATAGAAAATATTAATTTATTTGAATTTATTAGTAAATATGAAATCGTTTAATAAAAAAACATTAAACAAAGAACTTAAGTGTTATCAATCATCTGGTTTTGGATTTATAAAAGAACGAGTTTATTCTTATTTAATCAAACATCCCATGTATAATATCAAATTAGAACCAGAAAAGTACTTTAATTCGTTATTAATGTAATTTAAATCTTGGAGAGATAAAACAGAATTACTTGGTGATAGCAATACTTATTTTGAATAATTTGTAATATGTAGAAATATAATCGAATCTGCCTTTGATTATCAAAAACGTTTACAATATATTTAAAAGTCTAAAAACGATTTAAATACAATAACTTCAAGATGTTGAAAAATTCGTGTTAAATTTTAATGTGGATCAAAATTGAGTGTTCGAATTCATAAAACATGGAGTAACGTGAGTAAATAGATCACCAATACAACACTTAATCGGAATAGGTGGTACAGGGAAATCTTTTTTAATTAAAACTATTAAGGCCTTTAATGTAAAAAAAAAACTAAATAGAAATTTAGCTGTTACAGCCGTTTATAGCAGTTCAGACAAAATTAATTACGAAAAATACTACAGTGGTAACTTATTTTGATTTATTTAGGTATACTTACACTTCCTGCCAAGTTGTTAAACAAGATGTTGACTAAGTATTAGACTTAAATATTGGTCTTATTTATCGTCATAGGTATTTATAAAATTATAAAATGGCCTTTTACTTAGTTTCCATATTACATCACGTTTTTTTAAAGATTTAATCATTACTAAATTTAATTTTTTTAACTTAGTTTTTTTTACACGTACCTAATTATAACGAAGTGTTTTTGGTGTGATTTATATTAAACCTGGCAGTTATATTACAAGAAAATAACTCAATAAAACCCAAAATATTCAAAAACTCATACGTCGCTAATTTTTAAAATTAAAACATAGAACGATTTTAAAATGTAGTTGTCGAAGTATAATATGTTAGTTATTCAATACCTACATTTAAGTGCTTTATGAAACAATTTGACTTTTTCCCCACGGGAGTATTTGAAAATAAATGTATAAATAAATAAATACTATTATACAATTTCACAACTATTCGACTTCAAATTGAAATAATACACCAAATAAATTCTATAAGATAGCTTAACTATTTGCTTCAAAATGAATAGTAGTACACTTTATTATATTGGAATTATAATACAAGCAATATCAGTAACACCTTTCTCTTAATACACTATGCAAATAGGTAGTTGAACAAATGTAACAAATGTATTTTCATCAAACCATGAAAATCAAAATATTCAAAAAAAAAATTTAAATGAATATTTATCTTGAATGATCATTTAGCGATGAGTGTAGGATAAAAACTACTGCTGATAAAAAAAAAATAGAGAGTTATTTCTGACAAAAGTAGATTGTTACAAGTAGCACTTGTTAGTAATTTGGAATGATAGTCTATTGAAACATTTTTCAAATGTATACACTTATTTTACTTATGGTAATAATTAATAATATCACCATTACTTCATATGACCTTCATTAACATCTTGTAAGTACTCATATTTAAATTTATTACAAATATTGTTTTTTACTATTGACGATTAAACATCATTAACAAAAATAACATTTAAGTGTAAGAATATTTTTGTGTGTAACACCTGACTAACTTACTAACTTTAATACTTATAGCAATTTTTAAACGATTTTTAATCCTTTAACCTCCTTTGTATAATGTGTCTAGTATGCAAACCACTATTTACCCACGATAATAATAAATATATGATATAAACTAATGTAAATTGAAAGTAAGTAAATTATTCCATAATTCGATATGTACGGTTGATAGTAATTATAAGTGATTAAGTCATAAATCATTACAAACTATAATCTATAAGCGGTTTTATCTGCGCGCGGACGCGATTAAAAATCGCCTATTATTACAGATTATTATCAGTTTGATCATAAACGCAATTTTAAATCGTCTGTGCCAACAAAAAAACCACGCTAAAATTAGATGATTAAAACGAATGTTGTGAATAGTTCCAGTCAAAACAAGGTGTTTAATTTTTGCGATTCATGGCGAACAATCGCCTAAATTAAGCATGGGCGATCGAACGTGGACATCCGCGATTTTTCTAGTGGAAATTGGTGTGATTTCATTATGACTATTCAAATTCCAGTGAATAATCGCGGCAGTTTTTAATAGCATCCGAGCACCCAGTGTATAATGCATTATAATCCGTAAATATAAATCGGCAGTTACGCCGATTTGCATACTTACCAAGTAATATCTGTAATTATTATTTTACAAACCACAATAAACAATACATCGAAATAAATATATATATATATATATATATATAGTGTTTGAAAATTTCATGAAATTTAAAAAAATGAAATATTTCAAATGTCTGAAATATTTCAGTATTTTAATAAATTTTGTTTTTTTTTTTTTAAATAAGTTTTATTTTTATTTATGTAATTGTCATAATTTACTTTTATAATTTTATACTACTGAAACCAATCACTAATTACCATTACCTACTCATTAGTGATAGTTTTTTTTTGGTATTATACATTCAAAATAGTATTCAACATTTTTAAATTGATAAAAAAACGTACTATGTCGATAAATGTTCGTACACTAATAATTATTATAAAAATTAAAAGATTATATGATAAATATTAAATGTCTATAGGTACACTATTGTCGTCAGACGTCTATTCACCATAATAATAATAATTTAAAGATAATAAACCATGCGTATTTTTTCTAGTTAGAAACTATATATAAGTTATAAGTTTATAACATTAAGATTATGATTGCGATAATAAATTATTGACTGTCAACTGTGTAATAATTAAATATTATACTTATATAATATATTTAGTCACAATTCACAATAATAGAACCATCCTTGCATCGTCGTCGACGATAAGCCATTCCAGGGGAAAAAACCAATTTTTGCTATAAACAGCCGAAAACAAGACCCTAATATAGTATAAATAGTATAATATGTCAGCCACGACACCACTCATTGCATTAATATTGTTAATATCAATGATTATACCAAGAACTCATGGATTGTACTATTAATAATTGATAAAAAACAATCATTATAATTTGTTTTCAAAAAAAAAATACAATGTTTCACATGAAATATTTCATACTTCAAACACTATATATATATATATATATATAAGATAACGAAATACTAAAAATAAAGCGTATTTGAGGCGAAAGGAAAAAAAATTGAGAAAATACGTATGGATAGGCATCCATAGATCAAAGCGTTTAGGCACTAACCTGTAGGCAATAAATGTAAACCCCTTTTATGAGCGTAAAATGTGCTGTAGCCAACAAGTAGCTCTTCTCGTTGGTAAATCGCTCTTGTCGTAGTAAAATAAAGATAATCTCCAATTTGATCAACGATCATGTTCTGTTCGTGTTTCGATTTCGCTGGCCGTACGAAAGACATCCAATTCGAATTATCTAAATAAATGAAATACAAGTTCATAATTAACAATATTCGATTCAATAAATACTTATTTTTAAACAATATTTTTATTAACTTATAAATCATGATATATAATTTTTATCATTACTCGTTACGTTTTAAAAACGGTTTAGTTTAATATTGTAATGTAAAAACAGTTACATTTTTGTCTGTTTATTTCAAATTATTTATTTTTTTTTTTTCAATAAAAAAGATACAAAGTTTTTTACTGTCCAATTAATGATAAAAAACAAGTGTTAAAACATGTTATCATAACATTACTATAAAAATATTAATTTAAACACAAGAAACATTTACTTAACATTTACTTAATTACACTAACAATCACCGTATATCATTGACAACAAAAAACAAGTTATAGACATAAAATTAACCTATAACTGACAATAAAATGCATTTAAATGATCTGATTACAGCAGTTCCGTTGATATGTTACAATGAGATCTTCGAATAATCAAAAGTAATATTATCGGAATATCAAGTAAACGTAATATCAAAAAGATATGTAAGATATGTATGATATTGTTACTAATAAATTACATAGAACTGCGATGAATAAATTCCATATTTGTTAGTATAATATTTATTTGAATACTCTGAAAGATGCATTAACAAAACAGTTTTTCTCTCAAACGAGAATGTTACGTGATTACTGATATTGACGGATTATAATAATCAACGACATACGATCCTGTGAAACATTGGAACATATACACATAGAAGCAAGTTTTCTCATAAAACAGGCTCATAACATATCAGAAGCGAATATATAAAATTTGTAAGACTGCCAATGTATGATTTCGATGTGTGACGAAGATTGACTTTTAGTTGTTGAGTTTAGTTAAGTTGTTTTTATTTAGGGCAAAACCACAACATGAATTTTGTTGATCTTGATTATCTAAATGTATGAAAATAGAAATAATATAGTGACTAGATATATATTCAACTGGACCAATACATATATATTAAACTAGAATTCGTCTATAATAACTACGAACGAACATTACTTTTGATAATAATGATTATGTTAATAACAAAGAATTTACTTATTTTCATCAACACTATAACATATTTTAACCACCAGTGTAGTAATAAGATTAAGGCTATAAAGAAAGAAAACGTGAACCGTTAAAACATTTCCAGATAAAGACAGATATATACATTAAAAAAAAAAAAACACATACACACGTGATAGTAACGAAATAGTAAATAGTTGAGTAGTATTCGACCGGTGAAACATGATCCGGCTCAGTCGAAATTTACCAAACTAAAAATAAAGTACCATACACAATTGATATGTAAATGTATGCAAAATGCGTAGTTACCACTTTCGCTTATAATAAGTAGTAATAGTACTATCGTAGTAAGTAAATAAAATCCTATTGATCTAAATTAATAATATTATGATAATATATTCAACGGTGATATTGTTCCACTATAATGCTCTAGACCCGGTTGAAACATGTTTTTAAAAAACAATTTAACATTGGGTAGTTAAAAACTATTTTTACATAAAAGTGAATCAGAAAAAATATAAAAAATAATAAAGTATTGTTAAAATGTGAACAATATGTAAACACAAAAATAGAATAAAGATGAAAAAGTACATTATAGTTCTCCTTTCTTAGTGGTGAACGGAAAAAAAGTCCCCGGTAAAAAGGTCCTTCGGAAAAAAAGTCTCTCGTTACAGTATAAATAAAATTTAATAAAATTTCCATTATACTTGTTATTTTATTTATAAAATAAATTTGGTTGACAAATCTGGTTGACAATCGCACACAACTAATAATGCTTACAAGGGCTGAAACAATAGGTTTTCCCTTCTTGTCGGCATCAAACATCCCAGTATTTGGAAATTACAAACAAAAATGCATCAAGAAGTTGGAATGGACAAGGCAAGAATGGCATTGGTTGAAGTAGGAGAAATTAATCGGAAAAAAAAAACAATATATATATATATATATATTTAGTTGGTAAAAAAATGGAAGTTCGATTGAACATTTTATGTAAGCATTTTGATGAGGACAAATCTTTAGATACGGTAAAGCACGATTCCGTACGTTTTACCTTTTTGGGAACACGATTCCGTACGATTTCTAACAAACAATGGATTATAAAATGATCCCAAAAACAACACGATTCCGTACGATTTTCCATGCAACGTTGCCATTTATTATTTATTATTATCAATTAATTTTTGTCATTTAAAAATAAAAAAATATAAACATTTAAAATATATAATTTGTAAATGGTTTAATAATTATAATTTGATACCTTGGTATTTAATACAAATACTTGATAAATATTTTATTATATTTCTATGATTTAAAAATTTTTTATGTTCGATTATTGTGTGATGTAATCGCTGTTTGTCGGCTAAGGCCATTTGATTAAAACGTCCTTTAGACACAGATCTTATTTTCGTGCAAGTCTCTTCTTGTGTTTCCTTTAGAAATGCTATAACCAAATGAACTGAAGGGTGTGGACTATGAAACTGGGCATTATATGTTCTATGGAAATTCTCAGATCCATTTTTTTGTACTTTAAAATATATAGTAAAATAAATAAATAAATGAAAACAAAACGTTTATATAAGATTAATGAAGTTATATGATAAAACTGGTTGACCAGTATATCGCAGACGATTACAGAGTCGATCATGTTAGAATTTATTTTTAGGCCACGCGCACAAAAATTAATCGTGGTGGTTATGAACAAATTGGCGATACGATTTATCTGTATATATTTTATCTTTTATTCTAGTTTAAAATACTTTATGTATCTTTATATACACTTTAAGCAAGTATGTTTCTTAATAATTATAATTATTTAATAATAAGAAAAAAATTTCCAAGAAAGTCATATATAGTTATATATTTTTCGGTGGAAATAAACAGTGATCTTCTACGTATGTTATCAATATATAATCAGAAAATAAACATCCTATATCTAGATTAGGACATATAGATACAAGTTCAATGAATGAATTTTCGATTTCATGTGGTGATAGAAATGGCAACCCGAAAAATAGTTTTAACCATTTTTCTAACTCGTAGTCATTTGTATATGCTGTTCGGAGTCGCTGTTCGGAATTTATCTGTATATGAATTTACCATATCAAATCTAATAGTTTTATTGCGATTTACTTTGAGACGATATCGATGTCGACCGATACTGTATAATATCTATGACGTATAATACGTATGTGTTATACAAATTAATAGATTACATTTATAATTACATAATTTTTTAACTTATTTAGAAATCTGACAACGTTACACTAAAATCTTAGATAAAAAACGTACGAAATCGTATGCTTTAAAATGTGTACGATTCCGTACGCTGATAAGGACCGTACGGAATCGTGTTCTACCCTGTAGATATTCCTAATTGTTTAAAGCAAATAGGTCAAAATATAAAAAAGAGATCTTTTATAACTGAATAATTGCATTCTTATGTTTTTTAAATAATATTATAGATGTTTAAGATGTTATATTATTATATTATTATAATATATTATGTAATTATATTATATATTATTGTATATTTTATTTTGTTTGTGCATAAAAGACTGAATTTAAATCAAATATTAATTTGGAGATTTTTTTTCGGTTACTTTTTTTCCTAATATCTTTCTTAGTATATCTATTTCTACAAATTATGGAACAACCAGTATACAAATTTGTAGTTAAAAAAATATAATTAGGAATCGCTAGAATAGTTGAATACATCATTAAAAATAATTTTGAGCATATCTTACCAAGATTTAACGGTTATGAAATTTATAACAATTAATAATCCTATAATAGAATTTCATGAATTTTCATGTATTTTAATAATATTGCTTGATATTCATTAAAGTATCTAAAAATTAAATTTTTAATTTAAAAGTATAAGGTTCCCAACAAAAAATTATTAATTTAATTAAATGTAATAAATGTTTTATGTTTTAAGAATCACTACACTTATTTTTATTTTAATTTGTGATAAGCTAAAACATTGAACCTTTGAAAATAAATATTCAGATACATAATGTAATATAGTAAAATAAGATATAATATATTTTGACTTAATCTATTGAATGTTAATAGTATTAAAATGTTAAATAGCTAATATTTTTTTATCGACATTCTTAGCATCTTCAGCAGTATTTTATAACTTTTAACAGGTAAACCAACAAATTAGTAAATCGTTTACAGGTTTCGGCCTATATTAAGAATATACATTCCATATAAAATTTAAAAAATTAGTACACTTCTAGAGTAATTCTTAATAATCTAGTTTATACTATATGAAAACAGGAATCCGTTATTTTTATTTTCTTGATTTATCACTTTCTCCCGCAGAGACACGATGTACACGTAAAGAACGATGTTAGATATAATACCAACTTCGACTACTGTGCGTATAGCTTTCGTTCATCTTTGCCGTACAGTCAAATCAAACGTTAATGGAGAAAAAAAATTTCCTCGGAAACCGATTGCAATTAAAAATCATGCAGAGATTGACATTGACGTATATGGTAAATACAGGCACTACTTCTACTATAACCACATCTTTCTATCACCGATATAATTATATTTATAACATAAAGAATCGAAGTACAATACACGGTCAACAAACTCAACACTCGTAATTCATTGAAATTGTTGACAGAAATTCGCGACGATTATGACGTGCGCCACTTCTGGTGATAGGTTAAAATGTTGTTATTAGTTTATTCAGTAAAAATAATGTGCGATTTTATGTGCTAATTAGGATCTGGAAATCATATGATAGCAACCCTTTCTTACGTAATATTTAATACCGTTACCGACTAACATATGATCGAAAATATGATTTTCACATAGTAAATAGATAATTTTTAAGTATTTAGTCTATATTTACTATAAAAATGTCATCAAGTAAAGATGCCGATGATATATTAGGTACTATAGCAAGTATAATAGCGTATGCAATTACTACTAGTAGACAT